TAGGTGTCACAATTTCAGAGGACCTAAGTTAAAGCGAGCACATTCGTGAAATAAGCCGTATTGTTATTAAAACAACTTTGGCACCTACGGCGAAATCTTACATGTGCTGCACCTGCAGTGACACTAATGGCGTACAAACCATATATAATAGGTCCACTTTAGAATACGCTGCAATGTTGCTGTACCCTCATGAAAAAATCAAATTCACAAGCTAGGGAAAGTTTGAAGGAAGGCTGCAAGGTTTACTTGATCGAGATATACGCGACAGCGAGGATTCCGTTAGAAATATATTAACCGAACACCATCTCCCATTGCTCTTGGCAAGACAAAAATCATTCCGGCTAAAAAGGATATCTCGTCAATAGTATAATGCCGGTTCCTACTATATGTTAAATGCTCGCGACTTAAAAGAACTAAGATATAATCTTAAGCATCAGTTTAAAATCACGAAATCTTATATCGACGCATATAGGTATTCATTTGTTCAGAAGATGTATGCGTGGAATAACCATCCGCAGATTATCGTGTCGATAAACTGTCCATGGGAAGTCGCAAATGCTATTTCAAATTTATGCAGTATGACCTGCTAAATATGCTCTAATATTTTCTTGATCTCGTCCCAAAAATCATAAATACAGTTGACTGTTTGGGTTTTGATTATAATGCAATTAAATGCAAAGGTGCAAGCGAGCTGGACAAGAATGACGAAAATAAACCCTGGAGAAGGGGAACAAGAGGCACAAAGGACAAACATAAATCTCCAAAAACAGCTAGGTGACTGGTGAGCGACCGAAAAAATCCGCCTGGTCCGGGTATCGAACCCGGGACCTCTCCATTACAGGTGGAGCGCTCTACCAGTCACCTAGCTGTGTTTGGAGATTTATGTTTGTCCTTTGTCCCTCTTGACCTATCCATTACAGGCGGTCGCTCACCAGTCACCTAGCTGTGTTTGGAGATTTATGTTTGTCCTTTGTCCCTCTTGTTCCCCTTCTCCAGGGATTATTTTCGTCATTCTTGTCCAGCTCGCTTGCACCTTTGCATTTCATTGCATTATAATCATAACCTTAAAATTGCAAGCTTCACCCTTGTTGGTGTTAGACTGGTGGCGGCTGATAAAACCCGTTTGCTCTACTGATGTCTAACCCCTGGTTAGCTCATTTGGTAGAGCGCTCCACCTGTAATGGAGAGGTCCCGGGTTCGATACCCGTACCAGGCGGATTTTTTCGGTCGCTCACCAGTCAACAAGCTGTGTTTGGAGATTTATGTTTGTCCTTTGTCCCTCTTGTTCTCCTTCTCCAGGGATTATTTTCGTCATGTTTGGGTTTCTTTTTTCTTTTTGTACCATTGAAGAAGAGAGTGTCTCAATTTCAGTTTTTTTTTTGCTGTTTTTTTTCCACTTATTTTAAGGCCTAATAGGTGGTATCCTTCTGGTTATATTGTGTTTTCTATTGTATATTTTACGTGGACTGTATTGTATATGTGTGATATGTCCCATACCTGTCGCAGCCCCTGTTTGGTGTAAACAGTATGCATTAATAAAGGCTGGAGGGAGACCTAAGCACTTCTTATGAGTTGTATATGCGACAGCATGAATGACGTTCTTGGGCGCGTTTTCGTGAAGTGGCCGCGCCGCGCTGACATCGGCCATGCAGCCGCTACGGAGTTTGCCTTAGCGTGCTCTGGAAGGCCCCGCAGCCAGCCGCCTCCTTTTACCAGCGCGTTGCGGCGCGGGCCAACAGCGCCATGGCGTGGCGCTCCTGGGCACTGACGCGCGCCGGCAAATGGGAGCCTAATTCCTTGAAACTATGACGCTCGCCAGCCAATGGGAGCCTACCCATCAGATATTGGCTTAACTTCGATCCTTTTGGAGAGGTGAATTTCACTGCCATTTTCTATGGCTTTTTGCGCGGCTTCAAAACTGGGAGTCTTCAGATCGCGGCATCACTTCGCTCCATTCTGACAGAGGAAATTAGTTGCCGTTTTGCGTGGCTTTAAGCTGGGAGACCTCAGATGGCGGTTCCATTTCGCTCCATTGGGAGAGGGGACTTTAGCTGCCGTTGGGCGTGGCTTCAAAGCTGATGAAGTAGGCTCACTCCATGGGACAGCTAAGGCTTTCGCATTCATAAATAAAATCTGATAGGCAAATACCCGTTAGTCTTCAGCCAAGTGGCTCGCAAATCGCCGTCCGTCGGTATTCGAGAGTTCTGGAATAATTGGGGCAATTATGACGCAATTATGATATAATCATAAGCATCAATTTAAAATCACGAAATCTTAACAAGAAACGATATTATCATTCAGAATCAACAGGCACGAACAAATAATTAAACTTTGATCAGGCTAAATAGTAGAGGCAGGAATGTAGGCCTACGCCAGCCCTCCTGCGCAAATGTTCACTCGCGCAACGCTACGTGAAGCGTTAACTTGCGGACTATTGTTTGCTGTAAAATACCTTGGTTAAGATCAAGGATCTCTGAGCCCCCACCCGTGGGCCGAATTCTCCGGTCCGTGGCTGGAGGCGGTCCTTTTTATAAAGCCTGGCCCGCTGCCCGCTTCCATACACCTGCAGTGCTACCGGCGCAAAATCGCGGCTAAAGAAACAGCGCCCCGACGTGAGCGAAGATACCGGGAAAAACTAGAGAAAACAACCTATCGAAAGTCGTGTCCTCTCGTCATAATCTTAATTGGAAATGGCATCATTATTTTTATTCCGGTGTTTCATACCTGTGTAACTACGTGTGTTATATTTTTTTTTTTGCATTCCCATGTAGATTGTGCTTAGATCCCTTTGTCGTATTTTTTCTTGCTGATTGTCATCATCAGTTTTATCATTCTCATTAGTCTTTTGCCGTGTGTAAATATGCCAATGTTACTATATGCTTCGATTTATGCCTGGAGGGTTTTCTGGATTCCAATTTTTCGTGCCGTAATTATGTAAATATTGCATTTTAAAATAAAGTATAATTATTCATACACCTTCTATTTTTAAAAATTTTAACCACTGTACAGTTGTAAAATGTACTTTTAGTTTTGGACATATATGGTTATCTAGAATAAGCGATTTCGTATTTTCTTATTTATTATTGCCTATTTATCGACCGCGACAGATCCTCGATCCGGTCCCTCAGGCAAGGAGTTTAGAGATTCATGGTTTAGACCTTCTTACAAACATCTCGTTCGACAGGAAACGACTTTCACTCATGAAAATAAATTAACTGAATATTCTACGCGGTGTATCGGACTATTCTCAAACGCCGGCACCCATATTCGTTATGGCTTGAAATCAAAGCAGAAGTGGTGGTCTTTTTGCAGCACGCGACATTTTGCAGCACAGGCAACGTCGGAAATCCGAAATTGCAAGTAAAATCGCACCATGGGAAATAGGTTTTAGTGATCGAAAACCTGGCTCCCTTGAATCCGCAGTCACAGTTTGTTTATTTTTTTCTGTAGTCAAGATACCCCTTGTAAAATAATTGTAACTGAACAGGGACTGACATAAGACTCTTGTCCGCTTACAATGAAGAAGAAGATGAGGGGCAGGGGCTGGCGCGAGGGGAGCCATTAGGTCAGTAAAACGAAGGTTCCCAACGAAGTCGGTTGTCCTGTCTTTCACGAATCGACCTCACAAGGTCACCGACAAAGTCATCAGTCGACGAAATAGAGAGCTTATATGTGCAACAATTAATGGTGCAAGAAACCCGGGACCTTTGGAAGTGAGGAATCAACATCACGATGGATCGGCTGAAGACGAAGCGGAGGGTTCGACGGAGCCAGAACACGAAGATAATTACCGATATCACGACTGCGCTCCAGTCAACAACCCTTGACATCAACTCCCTGAAGAACCTACGAGACAGGCTGATCGCCAGCAACGAGGAACTCCGCAAGGTCAACGAAGAGATTGAGCCGCTGATCACCGATGCCGACCTCGAAGCGGACTATGTTGCTGTGGCAGACTACGAAGATCAAGTAGCAAGAGCCCTCAGTGAGGTACGCAACAAAATCGAGCGTCAACCGGCAGCACCAGCCATTTACCAGGTGGGAGACGACGGTGACAGAGTCATACCCCAGGCCACGGGCGTGAAACTCCCTAAACTACAACTACTGCAGTATCAAGGTGATCTTACCCTCTGGCAGCCCTTCTGGGAGCAATTCCAAACTGCCGTTCACCGTAACACCAGACTCACGGAGGGAGACAAATTCCAATATCTACGCTCCCTGCTGAGTGGGCCAGCTGCCAGTGCTATCTCCGAGTTACAAGCAACGGCAGAGTGCTACAAGGACGCCAAAGAAATACTATCCGAACGCTTCGGGAACAAGCAACGCATTCAGCGTGAGTACCTCGAAAGACTGCGAAGCCTACCAACGGTGAAGTCAGATCGAGATGCACGAGGACTAAGGAATATTTACGACCACGTCCAGACCAACATTCGTGGCTTGCGTGCCCTAGGCGTTTCGAGTGCAACGTATTCTACTATGATGGTGGACGTACTCCTGTCCAACCTCCCGACCGATATAGTGGTGGAGTACCATCGACTCAAAAGATACGGGATAGGGCTTGGAGTTCCAATCAACGGGAGAGAAAGAGCCGGAACGACTGACGATGGACAACCGTTAGACGACGTCTCGCCTTCGCCAACAGATTCAGATGAGTTGGATAAACTCTTGCGTTTTATTCGCGTGGAGATAGCAGAGAACAGTCATCGCCACTCGAGCGAAGGCCGACAACCGTGCCAACAGTGGCGCAAAATCAGAGGCAAGGCGCCAATCCACCATCAACGTTGGTGTTGCACACTAGCGGAACAGACAACACCTGCTTCTTTTGCAACTACCGAACTCACCGTACCGGTGATTGTCCATCGGATATCACACTAGATGAGAAAAAGAAAATGCTAGCGCAAGACATGAGATGCTTTCGTTGCACGAAGCGAGGTCACCGATCAAGGGATTGCCGTAGTCAACAGAGATGTACCGGATGCAGGGGAAGACATGTCACCTCAATGTGTAACCCGGCGTGGGAAGCTTTATCAACCGTTCAGGAGACTGCCAACGTTCTTACCGCCGGTAGTACCCCGACAGTACAGACTCCGAGCGTCCTATTACAAACGTTCCGAAGCTGGGTTGGAACCGGCCTGAACCAAGCTTACATCCGCGGCATTATCGACGGAGGGAGCCAAAAGACTTTCATCAGGGAAGACTTGGCTAGGAAGCTTAATTTAAAGGTTGTCGGGGAACGTATCATGCAACTCAACACCTTTGCTTGCAGTGACTCAAACAGGTGTAGGCAGAAGTTCACCGTAGTTAGAATCCATATTAGGGGCCAATATAAGACAGCGGATCATGTCTTAGAAGCAGTCGTCGTGCCTTTCATCTGTCAAAACATCATAGAAACTCCAGTAGAGCACACATTTCTCAAGACTATCCCAGGAGACATCGCCGACAAGTTGATGTTTCCATCGACTCAAGTGGAAGCGGGCATAAGCCTTTTAATTGGAGCGGACCAGATGTGGAAATTGTTGACCGGCGAGACGCGCCGCTCATCTTGCAACACCGGGCTAGTAGCCATCGCAACGACTTTGGGATGGACCTTTCAGGGTCCAACGAGCACAGTGAGTGTCTTCTCAGATAATACCACAAATTTGATGGTGTGCGTGTTGAACGTGGGAGGGGCTAACGAAGAAGATGATGCAGCGTTAAAACATTTCTGGGAACTGGAGACCATTGGAATCGTGGATGAACCTATGGATAAGAAACAACAGGAAGAAAAGGTGTTTGAGCAATTCAAGGAAAACATCCGACAAAAGAACGGTCGGTACGAGGTCGCGTTGCCGTGGAAGGAGACAAAAACGACCCTTGGAGATAATTACATGATTGCCAAAACCAGACTCCGAAGTCTTGTACGCCGTCTCTCACAAGATGGCTCTATCGCCCAGTATGACAAAGCAATACGTAGTTACTTTAAAGATGGACACGCCGAAGAGGTAGAATTAAATGCATCAACCTACAGGCACGTTTATTACATGCCTCACCGAGCAGTAATTCGAGTTAACTCGGAGTCAACTAGACTTAGAGTAGTATTCGACGCATCTTCCCATGCAGCAAACACCGGATCTCTCAATGATCATCTTGAAAAGGGTCCAACGATCAACACGGAGCTTTTGCCCGTCCTACTCAGATTTCGAATGCAGAAGGTGGCCATCACTGCAGATATTCAAAAGGCGTTTTTACAAATAGTCATCTCGGAGCGTGACAGGGACGCTCTCCGGTTTCTTTGGTTTGAAAATACACCCAAACCCAACGAGCCACTGCCAAACACGAAGGAGTGGCGCATGACGAGGGTTCCTTTTGGAACAACTTCCAGTCCCTTCCTACTCGGGGCTACGATACAGCACCACTTGCAAAACGTGGGTGGACCCAACAACGACATCGCAACTATTTTACTCCGATCCTTTTACGTGGACGACCTGCTAACTGGAGCAGCGAACATTAAGGAGGCACAGCGACTCGCTGACGGAGCACTCACTTTACTCAGGGAAGCAGGCATGGAACTGCAAAAGTGGAACACCAATTCTTCTCAACTCCAGGAACTCTTTGATCAAAGAGCGGATAGCGTCGATCATTCATCCGAAAATAAGTCATTTAAGACCCCCGAGGTCACCAAGATATTGGGATTGGTGTGGGATAAAAACGCGGATCATTTCAAGTTCTCTGCTGATCATCTCTTGGAGATACTTTCTACAAATCTGAACACAAAGCGCTCCGTACTCAAGGCCTCGGCTAGGATCTTCGATCCCCTCGGTTTCCTGTCGCCGTATGTTATAAGAGTGAAAATTTTATTTCAACGTATATGGCAATGCGGACTTGGATGGGATGAGGTTCTGACGGAGGCTCTTTTGCAAGAGTGGAAATCCTGGTGCGCCGATTTAACGGAATTACCACAAATCACGACGCCGAGATATCTGCTGGGTGTCGAAGGTGCAAGCGAGCTGGAGATTCACATCTTCACCGACGCTAGCCCTCTGGCGTATGGTACCTGCGCATATCTCCGTGCAGTGAACAAGAAAGGAGAAGTCAGCGTGAATCTGATATTTTCCAAGGCTAGAGTTGCTCCACTGAAGACACTAACCCTTCCACGGTTAGAACTGATGGGAGCGCTATTGGGAGCACGCATTGCTACATATCTTCGTAGCTCATTGTTGGGCCACACCGTTACAATATGGTACTGGACAGACTCTACTATAACACTTGGCTGGATTAAGGGATTGGCAACCGAGTGGCAACCCTTTGTGTGCAATAGGGTGACAGAAATACAAGAACTCAGTGATCCGTCCAGTTGGCACCACTGCCCAGGTTACGAGAACCCAGCCGACGCTCTCACTAGAGGAAAGACTGTAGTACAGCTAGAGACCCAACAGGTATGGTGGTCAGGGCCGGAATGGCTTGCCCTCGAACAGCGAAACTGGCCAGTTAGTACACCCATAGAGAACCTTAAAGACATTGATGGGAAGAGACAGCAGCGAACCGAAACGCTGCTGACTGTTGTACATGAACAAGCTGCGCTTTTGGCGATTGAAAATTTCAGCAGCTACACCAAGATGTTGCGGGTAACTGCTTGGGTTAGAAGATTTGTGCACAATTGCCGCCAGAATAATGGGTCAGCTGAACTACCATTGACTACACAAGAAATTACGGATGCGGAACTTTTCTGGATTAAACACACTCAAAAGGAAGGCTTCGATAAGGAGATACAAGAGATAATACAAACTGGGAGAATTGCTACAAGATCTAAAATAAGTGATCTACAGCCGTTTCTTGATGAAACCGGAATCATGCGCATACAAGGCAGACTTCATCAAGCTACCTTGACGAAAGACGTAAGACACCCTATCCTTTTATCGGGAGACCACCCGTACACTAAGCTGCTGGTCACTGCAACACACCTCAGAACAGTACACGGAGGCCTGCAGGCCACATTGACAGAACTACGTGAAAGATTTTGGCTGCCAGGAGCACGAAGAATTGTGAAGAAGATCCTCGCTCAGTGCCGGACCTGTCGGCGGTTCAGCGCAAAGCCAGCCACGGCTCCAGTAGCTCCACTACCACGGGACAGGGTGGAAGAGGGACACCCATTCCAGGTTGTAGGAGTCGACTTCGCGGGGCCGTTATTCGCCAGCTCAAAGGGACAATGTGCTAAAACGTACATTGCTCTCTTCACTTGTGCGACTACTCGTGCAATACACCTCGAGTTAGTATCCTCTACGACCACTGCATCGTTTCTCTTGGCTTTGAGGAGATTCGTGGCTAGAAGAGGAATTCCGACCACAATTTATAGCGACAACGCATTAACATTTAAAAGAGCAGCGAAGGATCTGAAAGCTCTATGGGAGGCTATTCGCAGTACCGGATCACAAGACTTCTGCAGTACCCACCGAATAACCTGGAAGTTCATCGTAGAGCGGGCCGCCTGGTGGGGCGGCTGGTGGGAAAGAATGGTGCGATCGGTGAAAACGTGCATGAGGAAAGTTCTGGGACGACAAAGTCTGTCTTTTGAAGAGCTAACTACCGTACTGACCGACATCGAAGCAGCAATCAACTCTAGACCCTTGACCTACTTACACGCAGATAACAGCGAACCAACAGCCTTAACTCCGGCTCACTTACTCATCGGACGACGATTGACAACCCTGCCAGAGACGGAGCCGCCACACCCAGTCGCGTCCTCAAGAGATGCGCTTTCACGACGGTGGCAATATCGACAGAAGCTCATGAACAATTTCTGGGTACGCTGGAAAAAAGAATACCTCCTAGAGCTTCGATCAGCACACCTAGCAACGCCTCTTAACAGCCGACCACCGAAAATCGGAGACGTGGCACTCCTGCACGACGACATTGCCCCGAGACATCTGTGGACCTTGGTTCGTGTCATTGATGTACTATCTGGAAGAGACGGAAATGTGAGGGCATGTACCATAAAACTACCATCCGGTTCAGTGACAGGAAGACCAGTACAACTGTTGTACCCATTGGAAGCCATTTGAACTTCAATGTATTTTCCTCGCGTTGTGGGGGCGGGGAGGATATATGTAAAATAATTGTAACTGAACAGGGACTGACATAAGACTCTTGTCCGCTTACAATGAAGAAGAAGATGAGGGGCAGGGGCTGGCGCGAGGGGAGCCATTAGGTCAGTAAAACGAAGGTTCCCAACGAAGTCGGTTGTCCTGTCTTTCACGAATCGACCTCACAAGGTCACCGACAAAGTCATCAGTCGACGAAATAGAGAGCTTATATGTGCAACACCCCTAAAGGCCCTCTGTGGGAAGGTATTACATAGAGGGGTTGTGTGTGTGTGGGGGGGGGGGGGGGAGGAGGGGGGCAAGTAAATATATCATAGTACGCAGGAAGACACAAAAAAAATCATACAAAGACAATGTGAGGACTAAGAATAAAAAGCAATGCCAAGCATTGGTATAACTGCGCGCAAGCTGTTGGAAGTTAGACATATCTACTTCAGTTGCAATGTGAGCAGGTAGGTTGTTTTAGGCGATTGTGGTTCGTGGTATATGAATTATCAGTCATAACTGGTTGAGGGACATGTGATGCGCGTTACCTTGAGCGAATGACCGCGACGTCGAAAGATAATGGGAGGTGTTTTAAAAGTCGCCGTGAAGCGGTGCATGGTGATAGAGCCGGCGAAATAATGATAGAAGGTCATATTTACGGCTGCGTGATGGGTCTTGCAACACAGCTTTATTTTACAATACAGAGACACAAGAAAATGGAGCGTAGTCAGAACAAATGAAATTGAGGCACATTTATATTCAATGATGAAATAAGCGTGCGAAATGAACATGTCAACGCGAACCAAGATAGCTTTAACAAATGGCCTTTCTGATAACGTTATCAAATCACGTGTTTGACACGAAACGCCTTCGAGGTGTATGTGAATGAAACCACCAAATGGTGGTCGTCTGCTCCGAACGTAGAGTGTCTGCGAAATTAAATCGGACTAAACATGAAATTGTGACCGTATTCTATTTCTCGTGCGTGGCAAGAGACAATCCCGCTTCCTCTGCAAATATCGAGTCGGTCTGCTGCCGTGCAGAAGTTGAAATTAACCGGTGGCTAAAGAAGCGCTCGCCGCAAGGAAATCTGAGGCCGTAAGAACTATCTCTCTCTAACCGCGCGTTAGTCAGACTTTTCTCCCCAAAATATTTCCCGATCATACTCGGCCGTTTTTTGTTCAAGTATTCCATCACAGCAGAGGAGAATTCGAACCAAGAATGACCGAGTAAAAACACAACACACACAAAAACACGAGCAAAAACATAAAAACAAACCCACTCGAACATGAAAGAAGACAGATATCGTCTTAATTAGAAGACGTCCCCCCAAGCAGACCAGTACGCACATTGTGCTCAACTGTTAAATATAACGCGGGAGCGGTGGCCGAAACTCATGTCAAAGCTGTCTAGCGATTAAATCAATGATGCGGCAGAGAATATTGTGGCTCTTCTTGGAATTGTCGCCACTCCCCGATTCAATTATCGCATGACCCCCTCGTTTCTTTCTTTTTCATCCACGCTTTAAATATTTACTTGTTTGTTCTGCTGTTTTTGCCACTCTGTTTAGTCACACCTACGCATTTACCATGCGGGGCTACCATATCTTGGTGATCTTGCAGTTTTTCTGTTAAGGCCACCTTCTTTAAACAACAACAAACAAAATCAAAGAGCGACATTTTTTTTATTGCCGAGTCACGCATCGGTGATTGTTTCAGAGCCTTAGAGTGTAACTCCATAAAACAA